CACCACTGAGGGATGGGGTTGTAGTCATTTAATTATTTCCTTATGTATGTAACGCCCAAAGCTGTAAGCTTCAGGGAGCCTATAGATGATTTTTTCATATCATTATATTTTTTCCATGTGCATTTAGAAATTTGCTTAAAAAGCGCTTAAAATTGCAAATTGTTCTACACTAGCAGGGAGGCTCCATTGCCCCCTTTAGCTCAAGTTTTCTCTTATATGAATGCTATAGCGTTCACGTCATCCCAGTTGAAAAATATGATCAATATTGTCATGGATGCTATAGCATTCATTGTATGTACGTTAATATAACTATTGTTATAAACTGTATTTAATCAGATTGGAGACACATACAACCCGATTTGAAATAAATTGACTGTCATTTTTTGCACCTCAGTGAAATTTTTACTATTCGCGAAAGTGTTAAATAAAGTAAAATCACATATATATATATAATCGTGGCGCAAACTAATAACATCAACAAACATCTTGGAAAACACACAGAGGTAGGCGTGAATTTTATAGGAGCTGACCAAAGTGTTTTTTGTTTCCTTCAAAGCTTTTGCAAAAAAATCATTTGTGTCGAGAAAAGTACGCAAAATGTGGAGCATCGTCTCATAATAAACGCCACAATGTATTGAACACACTTCCCATGAACCGAAATCAAATCGTGCATTGGTTGATTGTAGCAAAATGCCAAACCATGCAAACGTAGCAAATGGCAGAGAAAGTCTTTTGCTTCAATCTGGAAAAAAATTTAAGTTTTACAACTTAAAACATGATAGCCATGAAAAAATATTTATAGGCCGTCGTTATATTGTGTTTTTTTGAAAGTTGCATAATCAACAATTCGTGGAACAACATTGCATTTTTATTTATGTAATACGAAATCTGTACATTTTCTCTTAGCATAAAAAACATGTATATGTATATGATTATTTTTGTTCACTGCTCATTACATTTGCAAGTGTGCGTGGCCGTTGATCATCCATATGATAAAATAATTGATGCCACTTAATTTTTATGTACTTGTGGGTCAGACAACCTTTCATTTAATTGGTATCGCGATTTTCTTTTCTAACGAGTCCAATAAAAACATTTTAATGACAACCATCATCAAAGCATATCAACGATTCTAATTGAAATGGTAGAGTAGCCGGCCGTACACTTGATTGGATATTTGAATAATTGCTGCTGTTTGGTATGCATTCATAACCCATTCATTACAGTTCTTAGATTGTTGTTATTAGTATACATATATATATGTATATATATATATATATATATATATATATATAAAGGAGCAGGGCAATCGACATTTCCATTATCTATGCAATCTAAATAACGCAAACAAGGTTACTTTGAAACGTTTATCGTGCACGTTCATTATTCAAATATATTTATAACTACGCTATAGACAAGTTTAACACTTGTCCACGACGTGAAAAATTCTCATACAAAAACAAATGTGAACAAATGTCCAATCGTAGAGGAAAAGACAGTTCGGAGGGTACGTTGTCTACTAACTGATATCTCTATGCATGTTTTTTTCTTTTTTAATTACTAGGAATGTAAGTTGGCCCGATCGATGGCAACCATTTTAAAGGAACCCAGCGATAGATTAGTAATGTAAACTCTAAGTAGTCGAGAATGGAGAAGTTTCAATAACAATTGGGGAAAGGGAAAATGTAATCTCTGTGTTTGACGTTACAAACAAAACGAGTAATAGGCTTGACAATAAAGTTATGCGGCGGAAAATCAAAAAAAAAAAAAAAAAAAATATGATATAGTGGTCTGCAGGTGATATAAGAAGAGAATGTCCAATAGCGCGACTAACTCGAATAGGCAAAGTAAATTCAGATCGTACAATTTTCGTAGCGTATGGCAAAGTTTTTTTGGAAGCTGTCACTCTGGAGGCCAAGGTTGAGTACGTGATTAGTGGTTACATCATGACATTGTGATGAGTTCAATTTAAGGGATCCGTTTCGGGGGAGTAGAAAAGTGCGAGCTTAGCATATTATTCAACGTGCAAGAGTTAATACTTGGTAAAAATTTGTTAGTTTTAGTCTCGATCCCGTGCAAATCATATACGTTCCCAATATAAAGCAGAAGAATATCAACCGCTTAGGCAAAAAAACTGTAGCTAATATCGGTCGATTTAGATAAATCATTCAGAACGAGAATAAGACCAAGGACGCCAAAAATAGAAGCTAGCGCTAAGCCGAACATAGTCTCAGAAAATCAAAAACTAGAATAATTCCCTGACACCAGTTGTTTACGATTTGGAATAAGTAACCCCACAAGCTTACAAGCACAGCTAGAAAAATTTAATTATTTATTTATTTAAATAATAATCTTAGTATTTTGTTAAATCAAGAGCGACAAGAAAACAACTGCTCCCGTCATTAAGATTAACGCTAATCGATTTGGTGAGGAAAGCTGAAAGGTTACGGGTATTACGTCTTGACTCAAAGCTAAACTTATACATCAAGCGAGACATTACCGTCATTAAAGAACGTATCAGTTTGTTCCTTAATGATTTGCTCAGTTATTTTGAAAAGACAGGGTAGGAGACTAATCGATCGAAGACTATTATGTGTGAAGGACGAGCTTTGTTTAGGCATTTTTTGGAGATGAATTCAGATCACTTAGTGAATACAAGTGACTGATTGTGTGCCTTATCACCAACTGCAGATGGCTTTCTCTCGCGCTTTATATTCCCGCAAGGTAAACAAATACTTACTGATCAAATTCGTAGAGGCTTCAAGATAAATCCATGATACATCTGATAACAGCACAAGAGCCTAAGAAAAACCCTGAAGGTATTTCACAAAGCATCCGTGCGAAGCGGTGCACGCTATGAGTTATTAAACAGTTCCCAGATGTTATATGCCGATGTTTGGCACCGGAAGACTTTTTGAATTCCCGTTCATGTCCGAAGTCTCCGAAAGACCGTATGGTAGGTATAAACGTAAGAGTCCGTTAAGCACCTTACTGCAGTTAAGGTGACTGGTGCGTCTAAAGGTAAAAAAGGTATCCACTATATGTAAAATGCTTACCAGCAAAACTAATGGAAATATATTCTGACTTAAAGGGAAACGTAGATGGGTCAGCAAGCGCCCACGTTGCAAAAAGACCAAACCCCAGTCGATTGTTTCAAATTATGTTTTATTGTGCCCGATAGACTAAGGGCCTAAAGAGTTAACTGAATAACCGACAGCAGAGCATAGCAAAAAAATCGTAAAACTAAACTCATTCGTGTTTAGACCGAGGAAGAGTACTTGGAAACCAACATAATTGAAAGCAAACGCAAACGTAAACGGGTTGTGAGCATATGTGCACACAGATAAAATGATCGAACTCTTGGCGTTTACTTAAAACAATTGTATACCGAAAGCGAGACATTTAGAGCTCAGCATGGACCATCAAACATGTGACAATATGGCAATAATGTTGCCTTCCAGTGGTAACACTTAAACTCTAACGACAACCTGCATTCTATTTACAACATTTGCATGATAACAGTACAGATAACTCCCTTTACGTATAGAATAAAAGCGGGGAGCGTTAAATAACAAATTATTAGCTTAGACTATTTATATAAAACAAATGTTTGAGAAAATTTCATCAAAAAAGTGAACCGGTGTCGTCGCCTTTATCGAGATTCTCTTTTATCAAACATTTGGTAACCTTGTGCTTGGCGTTTTTTGATGAAACAAAAATATTAGCAAGAATCGTTATTGCACTCTTTCATCAAGAACTATTTCTTGGCTCACACAAAAAACTTCCTGTTCACGCTGAGTTTTTTTTTTTTACAACGCGGCTTATCGTTTGTTGTGCAGTCGTTCAAGAAGAAAAAGAAGAAAATTTTCGGATGGGAATTGAATACCGAAACAGAATAATTCGGATGAGGCTGATTTTTATCGACATGGATACATAAACAAGCAAAACAGTCGAATCTAGAGTTTAAGAAATACAAGAAATATAGTCGACCCTCTCCGAGTAAGGATAGCATTTCAACATTGTTCTGCGTTGGCAGTGTGTCACACTTTTTGAAAATTCTCTTCGCACGTTACAGTGAGTAAATGGCAATAACGAATAACGTTGACCGATTTCTCAGCCTTCTATTGTACGACGCATGAAGCGATAACTCTATCTAGTGAAAAATTTTAATCAACAGCTATTGCTGAATATATATTTTTATATATATGTGATTATATATATATCACACACGGCTATTCGCCGTTCGAATCCGATTTTTTTCCTGAATAAAATATATGTAAAACCACAGTTCGACATCTGATTCAGTTCGAATGATCGGACCATTTTTTTAAATAAATTTAGTGCAAATCAAAACCCCATATAAAACATTGTTGGTCATTCATACAATATTACTTACAAATGCTGGCCTTCTTGGTTACTTACAAATCTTGGCCTGTTATTTCACCTGCCGGATAACTTAGGTTATATGCTCGTCGGCATTGTAAACTGTACCGCATTTGAGATTTGAACCCGCGACCACTAAGCTGTTAATTGCAATACAATGACTGTTCGGCCACTTAATGTATTTACGATCGAACCACGAACCACGACCACTTTTCAGTAGTAGGACAGAATTACGATGCCAGATTTTTCTTATGTCAGTAGTTCTGCCGATGTTCGACAATGCTTGTTGAAGTTGAATTTCTTAAATCATAAATTTGTTCAACGCCGACTTATATCGAATGAAAACAAGTTTTCTTAACCTCTTAAATTTCATTTTATATAAATTACTAAACTTACTTTTTTTATTTGTCTTATTTTTTGGGGATATTTTTTTTTTTGTTTTTGTTTTTTTTAAATTAAAGCCTTTGCATGTCAAACAATAATCAGCATAAAGAGAATGTGAGAAATTTATCACTTGCTGATTGAACACGAATGAACATTTGTTCACAATATTCATAAATTTTAAATATATATATATTTTTTTTAACACTTTACATGTATATGTCGGTTAATTATAGATGGCACTGGACGGTAAAACCGTAATTAAAGAGGAAATAACTGAGAAGGACGCCTACGAGGCAGCAGCATCTACAAATTCCAGTCGTCGTAATAAAGGTAAGAGAGTTCTTGTAATCGAAATTTCTCTTATGCACTGTCTACAAATTGTCAACAGACCTTCTATACAAAAGTAGCTATACTTTTTCTCTACCCATTACCCCCAACAAGGAAATCTTCTACATTTATTATTATGATACCTGAAGTAGAAATAAGTAAACGTTGTTTCACATATATATTTTCTCAAGTAAATTAAGATATATATCTGATTCAATTTTATTCTACCATTCATCCCTTGAGATTTTGTAAAGTTTGCACTGTCATAAAAATAAAGATAAACAACTGAAATTTAACACATGCGTGCACACAATTCTTCACCTTACACTTACTAAATACAGAGAAAACATGTCGCCCGATATACGACCACTAACTGGAAAACTGAATTAAGCGAAGCGATGACTTGCAGTAGTCTAATTTTATTGACATTTTTTCTATGGAAAAAAATTAGCGCCGATTAGGAAGCCAAAATGTTCACTTATTCTTATTATTAAGAAAAAAGTTTCGGTTTTTATACGAGGGTTGTTTGAATGTCCTCGGCCTAATTAAAATAAAGCAATTTTTTTGTTTTTTTTGGCAGAACTGGACGTTAGTCATTAGTCATTGGTTCCCTGCAAGAACAACACAAACAGCCCACCATTTATCTAATACCTCGAACCATTGGTCAAACCATTCATATTACGCTTTAATTGAATTCCGCATCATGTGAACCAAATCTCTTTTCCTTGAAACATTTTTTTTTTTTGAAATCTATCCTCTGGAGAACATCTGGGATAAATTGAACTTTCATCCATACAACTCTGCCATTGCCAGCTGTCGATATGTGACTAGGTTTCGCTGTGAACAAACCCGGCTTCCAAGTTGCGATCAGCAGCCTTATGCCTAAATCATGATTCCCTTTGTGACAAAGCCGTTCCTTGGCTATATTCATAACTTTTGCTATCTTCCTCAATCCAATTCGATAGTTATCCACTATTATTTGGGAAACAAGAGTGACATGTGATTGTAAGTACTGGCCCTCCCGAACGCTTATCATTACTCAAGCCGGCCCACGTGCCAAGTGCCAGCTCGCGTTTAATTTTTTTTTTTTTTTTTAAGCGTACCGACAAATACTTAATGACAACTCCGACATTCGATTTTTACCATTTTTACAAAAGCAGTCAAATCGACCCCCATTCAAATGATTGTCGAACCAGAACTATATGCCCAAAATGTTATTGTATGCTATCCTAATAGTCATTCCTGAAAATTGTAAAAGCATCTAAGTATAATTTCGTGGAGTGAGGGGCATTCGAAATTTGCCCAAAAGCAAATTTTTCTTTTCAGTTCGCTTTCCTTTTATGGAGGATTTCTTTTCTTCATATTCCGCTTTTTATTTTGTATATAAATTTGACAAAAAAAAAAAAAAAAAAATTGCCTTTATTATCTTATTTACACAACTTGTGACTGCGTATTAAAATTCTCATGGATTCAAAAAATGATATTTTTTTTCTCTATTCATGAGAATAAAAACAAATTGTTAGCAAAAAAAAAAAAATAACGAAGGGGAACACGTTTCGTAATCTTTTATATCATTTGGTCTTTTGAAATCATGGAAAATGAATTTTTTTTTTTTGGTGGGAAAAGTAGATAATTACGCTTTAAAATACATATCTATATAGCTATTCTTGATGTCGTATGTTTTTGTGTAGACAAGGAAGCTCAACTCAATTTACGTTTTTTACCTTATTTTGCAAAAAAAAAAAAAACAAACTGTTAGCGCTCGGGCGAACGACGTAACATAACATACGTACATAGTAAAGCGAAACAATGCAAGTTTAATGATAGAACAACACTGCTTTCCCTAGCATTCGGCGACGTCAATAGGAAATTGGAAAAGACGAATACTGAAAATAAGAGATTATAGGAAAAACACCGACAGTAGGATTTGGAATCGAGTATTGACATGCTTTTGCCAGCAATGGGAAAAAAAACCGGCAATAGAAAACTTTAAGCAGATAAATTCGATCGGTGGTTCCATGGTAAAGCTATACCGTCTTTGATGACTCTCTTAATGCTTAAAAGCGCTTTAAATGACGGCAACAAAAACATCCAAAAAGCGCCAGGTTTTGTATGGGAGGAAGTAGTTGATAAGCACTAGAACTCTTTAGCTCTTTTAAATAAGAAATCGGGAAATGTGATTTCAGGTCAATGGCATAACTGAAAGATGGTTTCAAAACCATTGGATACAAGTAAATCATAATCAGAATTATGCCAATAACAGGGGCATGAAAAATATGACATAATTTTTCCCAGCAAACACCAATAATTCCTCTTATATCATCTTTTGGTTATCTTAGGCAGTCTCGTCACTGATTTGCAAAAATCAGCGGAAATGAAGATCGAATTTCTCGAAATATTTTCATAAACAATAATGAATGAATGAAACGAATCAATGAATCTTTTTCAACTGATTTCGTCTTAACGACTTGAAGGAGTTTCCTTCTATTTTTTATATCTATCGTCGAAGGTTTCCTCTTATCAAAATATTTACAATATCCCGAAGGGGAAGCTTGCAGAGACCTTATAAAATGTAAACATTTTTTTGTAAACAGCATCCAATTTTGAATCGATCTAGGCATACATGTCCATATGTCTCTGTGGGCAATATTTTCCCGATTACAACAGTAGAGTTGCAAGTTCGCGGAAGTTCATATTAAGAATTGATCGGACCTACTTGGAGTGCCTTTTACTTTCAAAAACAAAAAAGTTGTATTTCCTACTTACTACTGATAGAGTCGCAAAAGATAGGATAGGGATAGAAAAGCCCACCTGTGCTCTTTGAATAGTCCTACTGTCTGTCTGTACAAAAATGGAAAATACGTACATCCAAGACAATGTATCGGAATATCGGATTTTCATTTTTTACTTTTTTTTTTTTAAGGAAAGTACAAAGGTAGACAGAGGCGAATATTATTGCCTTCCTCGTTGATCGGCAACGTCTTTCGGGGATGTCTCCAATACAAATACCTGCGATTGGGACATCCGCAGCTTTGGTTAGTCAATCTACATGATCGTTTTCTATAAATGAACGTAAGAATCTTTCGTTGTCAACTTCTCGAACACACACGTTTTGTATTATATTTCATATCAAAATAGTCGCTGCAAACGGTAAAATATTGAAATATAACCCTCATGTGGCATATAGTGCAAGTTAGTAAGACGAAATCACAATCAACAATAACTGGCATAAATTCTCGCTTCGAAGAAATGACAAATATTTTTCAAAAACAACAAATACTTTCGCGCCGATCCAGTGAATGTATTCAATATTTTTAAATTGCAGAAATCCAAACTACAGCATTTTGAATCAATACTTTTCAAACCCACAAGCTAAAAAGAAATTTTTAATAATTTTATGATCTTAAGGAGACTAAGAATTGAAAACTTTGTGTTGTTGGTCCCGTCATTGCTATTTATTACACCCTACACCACACATGATTGACTTTATATGCTTATAATAGTCACAATGACACATAAGAGAGAACCTATCATCATTATCATTTTCTGAATCGATTTAACTTTGTCTGTACTTCCATGCGTCAGTCCACCTGATACCTGCATTTCCATGCATTTTTGTGTTCAACTCATAAGTCGCCATTTATCAGATATTTTGACGAAATTTGTTGCTCTAAAGCGTGTTAGCTCAAGAGCGAAGCCTGTTTGGGGTGGGTACCTCTGTTGGGATGGGTAACCTCTTAACTTAAAAAAAAAGTTGATGAAAATTTCTCGATAAAAATCTGAGCTAAGTAATAACATATCGACATAGTCAATTGACGTGAACGCTTCGAATAGGGAGGGTCAATTTTTTTAATCTTCGTCACATATTACCGGTACCTATGTAAAATAGAGTAAGCATTTTTATGGCAAGATGTTCTAATATTTAATAATTCATAATGAAATTGGTGCTTATTAGTGGCTTGACATAGAAATTCATTATAGGACCATACCTACCGGACTGCGTGGACTTATTTGATGGAACCCCTTCAATATAAGGATTCCCATGAAAAGCATTCTCTGACGTAGAAACAAGATATAATTTTTGAAATATTGAAATCAATAAAGGATCGTATTAGGAAAAGCGGTGTAGAACTTCCTTGATCGGTCATGGCTGACACCAATGTTTGCAATGATTAGTATGGTAGTGGCGGTCCACTAAAATCAGCAATAGGTCTGTTGTATAATATTTTGAAGGAGTTGTGCAACATATCATCATTAAAATAATTTTCAAAAAACATTTTTGTTTTTTTTTTTTTTCATATTTTAATATAAATAATAAATATTGTTAGTGTTATTGCTGTACTTCGACCAAGCGACCATAACTATTGGGAACACATGGTCGAAAATAAATTTGTGCAAACAACAGCAGCAACAACTTTTTGTTTTGTTTTAATCTTTCTTCTCTTCAACCAAATTGTTGCTACTTTACTGATGTTATTTTTGTAAATGTTATTGCTATTGTTGGTGTTGGTATTTTTGTTACTGCTGGCAACAGCATTGGCATAATATTGACCAAACAAATGCTTTTATGTAGCCGATGTTGTTTTTATTATTGCTTTAAACATACATTGAAAAAATAAATAAACCCGAACAAATAATAACAACAACAACAACAATAATAATAATAGGAAAAAAAGTTTTGCGAACAATTTTTGCATATCCAACCACATAAAGCCACAATAGCAATAACAATAGCAAGAGCAAAGCAAAACATCTCAAGTGGCCATTTCCAAATGACAGCAGCTGCTCTTGATACTGAACTGAATGTTGTTATTGTTGCTTTTGTTTTGTTTTTTTTTTTGTTTTTGTTCGAAAAACTAATTTTTATGAAACTAAACAAAATCAACAACAACATGATTTGAAACTTTAAGTTTAGTTCAACTTCATTTCCTAATGGCCTAATGGTTAGTTGCTTTGCCTCTTCAGTTGCTCACAACGAATGCTCATATATGCACACACTAATA